AAATTTTAAATGTTTCTTTTGACTTGTTGTGAGCCGCCAGAGTCCCAATGGGAGTGGGCGGCATACAAATTTTATTAAACTCGAAACTCGAAACTAAACTAAGAGATTAAAATCAGTCAATTTTTCCTTTCGGCACACTCATACACTTTTGCAACCCCTTATAACACAATTCTTTCCGCGCTGTTTTCACGTCCTTCCTTGATGTCCATTTATTCTGTTGGGAGAGATTCATCCGTCTTCTAAGATGTGATCATTTAGGATTTCTTTTCTTGCATTCGTTCTGCTTTCATTCTTCATCTACTTTACATTTCATTTACTTCTACCTTTTCTTTTGGGACCCTCTTTTTCCCCAAGAGCCACTCCTGACAGTGAAAATTAGTATTTTGTTTTCATATATGGCAGTGATGGCTAACCTTTTTGTCGTCGCATGCTAGAAGCGTATGTGTGCACATGCGACAGCATCTGTGGATGCCCACACCCATAATGCAATCCCCCCATGCTCCTCCCCCCGCATCCCATTTTGAGCCTGGAAGGCCTGCACCATCCTGGAAGCCAAAACAAGGTGCGGGGACACTGCGCAAAGCCCCAAAATGTAATCCCCGCGTGTGCCCTACGTGGCAGAGACCTGAAGACCAGCTGGCCAGCGGGAGGTGTGCGCGCATGCACAGTGGAGCTGGGTTGGGGCGATGACTGGTGCTCCTGAAGAGAGGGCTCTGTGCCACCTGTGGCTTGCATGCCATAGGTTCTCCATCACGGATATATGTAGTTCCTTGCTTCTTGAGGAGAAATACATGGATGGTGTCCCTCACTTCTTTTAATCTGGATCATTGTGTGCCATTCTTCTGACCTGGGGAGCAGGAAGATCCTTGGGAAATCTCCAGAAAAGGGGCTTTCTAACTTCAAACTGCTGGTTGGCATTTCAGCGAGTGGCAATCCTGAGACTTCTGGAAGGCATCTGTTAGAATAGGTGCACTTGGCTCCTCAACTCGGAAAGCTTTCTTAGCCTGTCTTCTAAAAACACACTATTTTGTAAAAAGTCTTTGTGGCAATAGTGGACTGGTTGGTCTTTACTTCTTGTTTCCTGAAATGGGAAAAATTGTTTAGAAAACAACTCCCATTGTACGAACATTTGCTTTGATTCATGAGCACCTATTGTCTGTCAATTAATTTCTAAACAGTAACTTTACTGCAACAAACTAAATACATAAAATAAATGGCCATTTTTGTGGCATTGCACTTCAGTCACAGAGTGCCCAAGTTTTAGACCTGAAAAAATATATTTCCCCAGCTATATAATAATTGCATTGAAGTACAGCAAAAAAAGGCATTTTAAGATATATATTTATAGCCTTCCAGTAGATTATTTTCAATATTGTTGTTCTGGCACACGATTTGTTTCTCACAACATATTTCTACAAAAACTTTTTTTAACTCAGGAAAATTCATGGTGGAGAGTTTGGTTTTCCATGCGGTGGCTTTACTCCCTTATATTCACCGAGAGTTGATTGCCAAATAGACCCCTTGTTATCTTCTGAACACCATTCAAGGAAAAGACTAATTTTGAATTCCGGGTTGTTGTACTGGTGTAATTGGCTGGTGGCTTTTCTGTTGGACTTTGCGTGTGGGAAGGAAAGACGGCAGCATAACAAGGGTGCATGTGATGTGAGAATTGAGGGCTTACCTGCAAAGTGAGTGGTGTGTGCCACGTCAGTGAGGTGCGTTGAGCCAGGTGAGCCATCCATCCATCCTTCCTGGCCATTTGATCAACCTGTTCTTGTGGCTCTTCTCTAGCTTTAGAGCAGGGGTGTCAAACTCGTTTTCATTGAGGGCTGCATCAGGGTTCTGTTTGACCTCGGGGGGGTGGGGGGGCATGACCAGGGTTGGCATGGCCAGCTCAACATCACTCATGCTAGAGATGCCTGTGGTGGCCCAAGTGCTCTGCCAGAGAAAACAGACTCCTGAGCTCCATTTTCGCTGGCAGAGGCACCACGGGCCAGATCTAAGCCCCCCACGAGCTGATCTGGCCCCCAGACCCTGAGTTTGACACCCCTGCTTTAGAGCAAAACCGGCCCCGTTTCAGGAAGTGGTCTGTGGTTGCTTCCAGGTCAGAGCCTTGGCTGAGGGACTATACAGTCCCCTCCTGACCCAGGCCTTGTGGTGACGCTCTGAGCTCTGGAGCCTTCCGCTCCCCTGCAGGTCGGTGCCCTGCTCCTCTTGAGCTATGTTATCATTCCATTTTGACACCTTTTATCAAACTTTAATGAAATGACCCAGGCAAACAAATTGTCATTAAACTTTCCATCACTTTGTCCCCTGGTATTGTCTTTTATAAATTGGACAGCAAATGTTGTATTGATCTCCTCGTTCTTGCAGCTGAACTTGAAATGACCCAGACGGCGGGTTGTTTATGGCCGAGAGTGGCTTCTCCTTGACACTTGCACCCCCAGCCTGACATCTCTTTTGTTTTTCTTTCTTCCTGGTGGAGATGAATGAACAAGACATACGGTATCGAGACATCCTTGGGCACGGCAACGGAGGAACCGTTTACAAGTGAGTGTCCCTCTTCCCCTCTTTCCCCTTCACTCCAACTTTGGGGAAAAGAAAAGGCAGAGACATTTTCCTTTCCCCCAAAATATGTTACAAGGTGGCTGGCCTTTTTTCTCCTGCCATGAAATGTTGATGATCTTTAATGTTTGCTGGAGCTGCCTTCATAACCAAATTATGTCTGGAAAAGTAGCTTTCCAAACACCCTTTTGGTTGACCGTATTGGAATCTTAGATAAATCTTAGTGCGGGATCAAAAAAGAAATTGTCATTGTGGACTAAAAATGCTGTTTCCAAATTGATAAACTTTTTATTTTAAACGAAGAAGATGGAATACCCATTTTCTAGGATGTTTTGAATACATTTAGACTAAAATTTATAACAGGGTTACAGGCTCTCTCGCAACCAGCAAAGATTGTGGTGATCAATATTTTCAGAGAGTAAAAATACTTTCTAAATGACAATACTGTATGGAAAATATGATAATAGGCATGTAAGGCCCAATCCATCTGTGGCAACTTTCCCAGAAATAATTGTAATGGCTATTAGCAAAGATTATGTGCAAATGTGAAGAAAAGTTTTTTGTCTGATACCAGAAAAAGACAACACTGTTTTCATGCGCCACAATTTGTGCTTAAAAGTGCATGCCAACATGATAGCATAATTATAGCTATTCTCTTTGTTTTTATTGGTAGAGGAACTGTTGAGGCAGATGAATAATTGGTTTAGTCCAACATTACGTTGTTAGCACCCCACCCTGTCTTCTCATGCGGTGGATAGCCGGGACTCATTTCAGCCACAGAGAATTGACACTTATTAACTCATTTTGTGGACATTACACGAGCTTGGCAAACATCCTCCTTTAAGTTTCTAGAGATTCTTCAAGAGCAGCCCCAAATGAAACACATTGGAGTAGTCTAATAAGATACGACGAAAGCTTAGTCTGATTGACTCATGAAGGGTCAGTAGGTGATATATGAACCATAATGTGCAAATATGTTGCCGCCACAAAGGCCCTGTGAACAGGGCAGTATCCCAGGATGTTCATAAGCTGCAAACCTTGGGAGCCGCTTCATTCCCGACAGCTGATCCTGATTTCCCATTGACCAAGAAACAGCCCCTTTGTCTTGTCCAGATTCAATTTCGGCTTGTTCACCTTCGCCCGGCCCATTAGCAAAGCCAGGCAACCTTCCGCTGTATCGACAGCTTCCTTGGAATTGGATGACAAAGACTAATTGTGGTGGATCTGCATGAGCTTCCTTTACCATTATGGGAATTGCGGGAGCCTTTTGAGAATCCTGCTATTTATGCAAGTAAATTAATATCCCGGGAAGTTTGTTCCTAATGAAGTTGTTATGGATTATCTGATTCAGCTGTGGCAACGGCATGTAAGATGCTGCCTTTCTTCCAATTAGATACATTTAGTTGATAAACTTCATGTAACGACACACTATTGTTCTTTCCGCGAGCTCTCTCGTTCCAACATGACATTTCTCTGGTTAGTCAGTAAGGATCTGGATTTCCAACTTTTTGATTGAAACAGCCAGGTCTACTCCCTCCAAATGCATTGGCCCTCTTGGCTGGACCCATCGCAATGGAAGTCCTCGTTGGCAGGTGGGGGAAACTTTCCAGAGAAGAAAGAGAGGAATTTGGGGTATGCCACAGATCCTTTCAGGACAGGGATATTATTCTGGGGCTATTGATAGATTTTGAAAGTAAGAGATGCATTCACTGAGCCCCACTGGCCTTGAGAGTTAATGTATTTTTTATGTTTACAGCTGCATTGATGGTCTTATTCTGCTACTGCCTCTCCCAACTTTGTTACATATATTTGTTCCCACTCAAAGATACAGGCCTTCCTGTTGTGGAACAAACCCTCTTAGACAATTTCCAAAATCAATGCTCTACATAAACAGCAATAGCACTTAGACTTACATACCGCTTCACAGTGTTTTACAGCCCCCTGTAAACGGTTTACAGTCAGCACATGGCCCCCAGCAATCTGGATTCTCTCTTTACCCACCTCGGAAGGATGGAAGGCTGAGTCAACCTTGAGCCAGTCAGGATCAAACTGCCGAACTGCTGGCAGTCGGTAGTCAGCAGAATTAGCTTGCAGAACTGCATTCTAACCACTGTGCCAACCTCTATTAATTTTAACATATTAAGATTTTATTATTAGCAGTGATGATATTACCTAGTTTGGGTATGAAACATCTGCAAGAAAACCACCAAGCTCAGAGACCACCAAGGATCCCTCAAATTAAGATTTACAGTAACAAAGAGATGGTTGTCTTGATGGGAAAGCCTTTATTCTTGCAATAGTTTACCATATTTTTCTAAGTAGAAGACGCACCGGAGTAGAAGATGCACCAAGATTTTGAAGAGGCAAATTAAAAAAAAGGTTTTTGCACTCTGCAGACCTCCCCAAAAAGGGCATGAATAGCCTTTAGGAGGCTTGTGGAGTGCTCCTCGGGGGGGGGGGGGAAACAAGCAAAATATGGCCTGCTTTGTGTAAAAAAAAAAGGGCATGCATAGCCTTTAGGAGTGCTCCTGGGGGGTGGGGGTGGGGCAAAATTGAGCAAAAAATGGCCCCTTTCTTTCTCATTTTTGCCCTCCCCAGCCCCCAGGAGCACTCCTAAAGGCTATGCATGCCCTTTTTTTTTTTCAAAAAACAGGCCATTTTTTTCTTGTTTTCCCCCCCCCCCCGAGGAGCACTCCACAAGCCTCCTAAAGGCTATTCATGCCCTTTTTGGGGAGGTCTGCAGAGTGCAAAAACCTTTTTTTTAATTTGCCTCTTCAAAATCTTGGTGCATCTTCTACTCCGGTGCGTCTTCTACTTAGAAAAATATGGTAAACTATTGCAAGA